CCTAACCCTGAGAATTTTCTTAAGTTTGAGATGCTTACATTGACAAGATCTGGACTGTGATTCTATTACAAAAAATCATGAACAAACGATCATTGTTTGTTCAAAATCAATAATCGTTGTTATGGAATAAATATAATCAAATTTATTGTTTCACCATTAAATTAATAGTAAGCTTCAATGTCATATTATTGGTCACAGAAAAAAAATTTACCCAAAAATAAGTTACCTAGGACGCAATTTGAGTGAGTTTTTAATAACCCGTAGTTTTGCGAAATTAAAATGCTCTCTATATACAATTTTCACCCTGCCGTAATCTAACGGGAACTACTCTCAACTTTACACTTTCATCACCTCATCAATCGCCTGTTATTTCACGATCAGCATCTTCAACTATTAATAAATCTCAATTGGAGGCGAACCAGCCTAAGGCTGAAAGCCTCCTAAATAAAGCTAAATTAATTAATTATTAATAAATCTTCTTCTTTTTCTTCGTATCTTCTTTAAGTTGAATTAGTATAAAATGCAGAAAATATATTCAGCTTTCGGTTGACCGAATCCGAATTACCAAGCCTTTCGTTTAACTACTGCCATCATATTCTGTACAGCCACCTCCTCCACATTGTTCGCCTCAGAACGTCAGTTTGCCTTAAACTGCTTCTCGCTTCCAACAGTTGTTTAGGTCTTCTTCAAGTTCCACTTGACGATGGCTGCATGTTGTTGGTGGCATACCACTCTATGGCCTTTTTTTCTGTAATATCAGGATGCCTAATCTGGCCAAAAAAGCACGGAACACGCGTGCAAAATGTTGATGCGTTGCACCTCTTGCTTGGACGCCATTTTTATAAGTGAAGAGCAAATGTCAAAATTGGAGTTTAAACACTAGAAAAACAGGAGTGTCATATTTTGGTCACCCTTTTCTCCGTTTAGTCGATCGGAATTTTCGTATTCCTTGAAACCACAACCACGAGATAAGGATATTTATTTCACATCGAGGAAAATTTATTCATAAAACAGCATAATGTACTGCCGTAATCTATCTACCACAACGCGACCCCAACCAGAACGAGATGTTTTATTCATGGGCTCCATGCTGACTCGCTTCCAGAAGAAGAGCAGGAATCACTCAAGGGTTATCAACATTAAGATAACAATCGTTGTTATCCTGGACGGACAAACGTCGGGACGGTAATTGGATTCTTATGACGGCGAGAGTATAATTTATTGAGGGGTAGTTTCAATTAGGACCCTCCTCCCCCAGTTCTGCATCCCATTGCTGCCAGCTGAATCACTAATAATGGTATGATATTGCCACTCTGCACACGGCAAGGAGGCCTTGAACTTTAGCGAAGGCTTTAACAGGGATGCAGTGTGCCTAGCTTAACAGGTGTGCATGTTTGACGGCTTGCATGCAACTGTGTTTTTCTTTTTGCGCTTGCATTGGGCCAGAAAGAATGGCAGGAGCAGCAGCAAAAAAAACCACTCGAGTTTCACACAAAGTGACAGGTTAATTAGGCGCGCTTTTCTCCGGGGAAGCATTAGACATGAGTCAGCCCTTTGCACGCGCGCGGGAAATAAGACTCAATCTGGTTGCTTGTAGTGGAAATTAAGAACAGATGCTTTTACATTGCTCATGCTGAAAAAAGTTGTTTGAGAAATTATTCAAGCGAATCGATGTTCGTACGAATTGGTTTCTGAAAACAAAGCCTGTCATGGTAATAAATAAATCTAATGTTTATATAAACATTATCAATGTTCCGTCAAACCGTAACTTCAAGTGATCTTCACAAGCGCCACATTTCATTCAAGCTCTTTGGAACTACATGTGGTGAAATATGAAACGCACCATTTAAAGTGAATTATACATAACAATGACGAGTGCCATCACTTACTAATACATAAAATCTGCCTAGGCTTACCTGACAGAACGCGCTCTAACTCTCACTGAACCAAAGGGCAGGGCGATGACCCTGCCTGAAGATCCCGCAATACTTCAAACTGCCGAAAAATTTTCCGAAACATAACTTCAAATGCATCTGCATCATCCTAATGCACAATTAACTACTCTGGAGTATTTTTGCAGTTTCCCCAAAGTTCTTCGAAATTTCCTAAGTTCCAATAAAATATGTGAAGTTTCAGAAATTATTCTAAAAAATCTTAAGATATCACTGGGGTGCTATTGACTTCCCTTAAATTCCCGGATTCTGGAGGTTTGGATATTTTCCTGAAGTTTAGCCTGAGCATTCATAGGGCAGCCCAAATAAATTCAAAATTATTATATCTGATGGGCGGAATCTATTCAATACTTAATGAGCGCAGAATATTTTGTTGTAACATTTTTAGGTGACAATGTTTTCAAACGTTTCTTTTTATCACGATCGGCAGAACATATATATTCACCGTCAACAGCGCATATGTGCAAAAGGTGGTCCAAATAGAATCAAACCGTTTATTTATTTAAATTTGATGTTCGCAAAAAAAAAGAAGAGTGCAGGAAATTTTTCATAGCGCATTTGTAAGCGAAATATTTATCAAACGCTTATTCTTGAATTTGTAATATATTATTTCGAACATGTAATCCAACATGTTTTTGTAATCAGTTTAACCTTCCTATATTGACTCATTATTCATCATGACCAAACCTAACCAATGAAAACCGAAATTTTCCACTCACAGCACACAGTAACTTATCCTTTTTTCGACAGGTGTTTGTGGGTGACAACGGTTGTCCGAGTGTCAAAACCCCCCGGTTGGGCCAAAAATCAAACCAATTCAACCCACAACAGAGAGAAGAAGAAAAAACACCTGATCATCATAGCAAATCCCCACTTCCAGTTAAATTCCGGACGATGTTTTCACAAACAGTGTCGTTTCGGTCCCAGGGGGCAACTTTTCGGACTGAATATATTTATTTCCATCCCAGTAGGCCAGTGGGTGGAGGAAGCGAGAGACTGCGTCGAAGAAGGCCGAGGCAATGAAATGGTTTATTAAAATGATATCGTTATCAACGCTCGGGCTGTCGTCTCTGAGCTATCTCTGCCGTGCTGCTGCTGCTACTGCTGTTGTGTGTGAAGCAGCTATGGTGATGAAGGAGGGTCTTTTCTCTTTTCGGCCATCGTCGCCGGAGCGGCGGGTGAATGAGTGATGATGGTCACAGAAGATCCAGCATCATCAAGAGCCAGAGTCACACAAACACATCATCGCATCTCTTGTGACGAACGCCTGTTGCTGATGACAAGCAGCAGCAGCTTCGAGTTGAGATTGACACGCTGCCGCCGACGACCACGCCGAGATTCTATGTTCACTACTGCCATCCAGAAGGACGGACTCTGGTGGTTTTGGATATTCGAGTTCGACGCTCACCGGGGAGGAGGAGGGGGGGGGGGAATGTCATCATAAGGAAGTGCTGAACCTTCCCACAGGGCATTTTTCTGAGGTGACGAGCTGAAAACCGAGTAAACGAACGGAAGCTGGTCGTTTTGACTGGTCCATCATCATTCTCCTCCATTCGGTGGGTGAATGAGATTTGGAGTGGCAGATAAAAATGCAATTATGATGCGAAGAATGCTATCTTGGAATCAGCTATTAAGAGAGCTTTGTTTTGCTAAATAAGTTGTCCACAGCGAATAGACGGCGGAGATAGAGATGAGATGAGGTGCACTGGGAAAGATGAGTGAGCTTCCTGTCAGTGAATGCAGAGAATGGGAAAAGTGCACTTTGATAATTGGATAGTGCTAAGGGATCTTGAGAAGCCGATGAACATCTTGGGGAGGACTATAACGGCAAACAATGACTGTGAAAAGCTCCACAGAATTTCGTGATTAGCCATATAGTATGAATGGCTTCCGTCATAGTAGTTTTGGGAGCTCCTCTGGACCAGTAGACTAGTTGCAGACACCAAGCTTTGGGGATAATATGAATTAGAGTGGATCAAAATATCGATTTTGCTACACCAAGCTCAGTCGATTTCAAACCAGTTCAGTTCATGGAACTGAATGTTGGTTGGCTGATCCTCGGACTGATCAATGGAATGGTGAAGGCGTTACTTTGTATGGACACCGATTCCCTTACGACCTTCTGTGCGACTTGGATTCCATAATCAATTCGTACCTCATAGAGTTCAAAAAGCTGCCTTCGGATCAGTTTTACGAGGATGATTTCAAACATCGCGATGTTGAAATGCTTACCGAACTGCTCCAATCGCTGGCACCATGGAAAACACCGGTCTCTTTACACTTCGCCGGGACTTCTTCTCCGCCAAGCCTAAATATTCTATTTCAAGCCACCAGGGTCGTGTCTAAGAGCTGAACTTATCCTTCAACCAACTCACTGATGTCAACTTTCAGGAGCTTAACTTCAAGCCCAACAACTGACCAATCAACATTTTACAATCCCACTTAACCTGCTTCGGCTGTGATTTCAGCTCCGTCACGAATCTCCCCGCCACAAATCGATCTACCACCATCTTCAACGTTCCTTTCACTTCCTCCTTCAGGGTTTCGCTCTCCCCACTAACCAACTCACAAATCACATTCTGAATCGGCATTATGACCAGTAGCAGTCCCTTCATGGTCATCTTTTCAATCAGCTTCCGGAATGATGCCATCCGCTTCCCAACTTCGATTAAACTGTTCTGAAACAACAAAGCCTTCCGCACCAGATCCTCGAACAGTTCGATCGTCTTGTGTGGAGGTTCTCCGATCTCGAAACCTTTCGGTAGTGTACCATCGACGTACACGTCAGAAGAATATGTTGCCTGGTAGGCCATGATTTGTAGCCATGGTACGATAGTAACAAACTGAAAATATTTTGTCAGTTTAGTTCCAACCACCGAAGAGACAAGTCGAAATATAATAAGCTCTTAAACCTAAAACTAGTTTCCTTATCTTCGAGAATACAACGTATTTTGGCGACGAGGTAAAGTTCCTGCGATTTTCCGGAAGTAACATCAAGCTCTGTTCCTGTTTTACCGTTGAAGCCCTCAAATCACTACGAAATCAAGAATGTCCGACAACGATCTGAAGCAAGCAATTCTCCGGCTGACGGAACTGATCGCCAACCAGCAGCAGCAGATTAGAGACCTTCAACAGGTCAACGCCAATCAAGTTGGAAGCGAGAAGATCATCGAGTCACTTTCCACCGGAATTGACGAGTTTCGTTATGATCCAGACGGAGGACTATTTTTCGAATCGTGGTACGCTCGATACGATGACGTATTCAAGGAGGACGGGAAGCACCTGGACGATAAAGCTAAGGTCAGGCTGCTTCTGAGGAAAATCGGCACTCAATTCCACGAACGCTACGTGAACAGCGTTTTGCCGAATCATCCACGGGATTTGGTGTTCAAAGAAACCGTCAAGAAGCTTAAGAAGCTCTTGGGACGCCAAAAGTCACTCTTCATCGGACGTTATCAGTGTTTGCAGTACATCAAAAACGATGCTGATGATTTTTCGTCGTACAAGCACTGTGAAGCGTTCCAGATCGAGAAGCTCTCCAGTGACCAATTCAAGACGATCAGGTTCGTATGCGGTCTCCAGTCACCGTGCGATTCTGACATCCGGACCAGGCTGATTGGAAAGCTGGAAGCAGAAGAAACTGCATCGCCGGCTGATGGCGCAACGCTGAAGCTTGAAAACCTGGTTGAGGAGTGCAACCGCATTATCAACCGCAAGCAGGATACGAAGATGATCGAGAAAGGTTGCAAAGATAGATCTATCGTTGATGCAATATCTCGACATTCAACAAGTAGGAAGGAGAAATTACCAAAAACGCCTTGCTGGTTCTGTGGGGATTTACAGTATGTGAAGGAGTGTCCCTACCAGTCCCATACCTGTGTGAACTGCAAGCGGAAGGGCCACAAGGAAGGTTACTGCTCATCATCCGAAAAGACGTCAGCAAAGAAGGTCGATAAACCGAAACCTAAAGACTTCGTCTAATCTAAGGGTATCTCGGTCAAGCGAATCAACCTAACGAAGAACCGGAAGTATGCCAAGATCGAAATCAACGGCTCAACAGCGATATTGCAGCTCGATTGTGCTTCCGACATCACCATTATTTCCAAGCAGACTTGGATTGCCGTGGGTAAGCCTGTCATCAATTCTACGGAAGTCATCCCCGGGAGTGCATCAGGTGACAGCATCGATATCCTGGGTGAGTTCAACGCCGAAATCACCGTTCAAGACGTAAGAAAGGAAGGCCGCATTTTCGTCACAACAAACCCGGATCTCAACGTTCTCGGTATCGAAACAATCGATCAGTTCGATCTCTGGTCGGTTCCATTCAACTCGCTAGTGAACACCATACAGCACAACTCAAACGAAACCATGCAATCCCTGCAACTCAAGTTTCCTGAAGTGTTCCAGACCTCGCTCGGATGCTGCACAGGTAACGCTCTACTCGAAGCTAAATTCTCGTCCTGCGTATTGCCCTAAGAGACCGGTTGCCTACGCTGCACTTCCGAAGGTTGATGCTGAGCTCCAAAGGCTTCAAAAAAACGGCATCATTTCACCAGTCAAGTTTTCCGATTGGGCTGCTCCCATAGTGGTGCTTCGCAAGTCCGATGTCTCCGTAGGCATTTGTGGTGACTACTCTACAGGTCTGAACGATGCCCTCGAGTCAGATCGCCATCCACTGTCACATCCAGACGACATCTACGCCGAACTAGCCAATTTTCCATCGATTTATTGGATGCCTACCTGTAGGTCGAGTACAATCGATTGCCACCAGGAGTCAAATCTGCGCCTGGAGCGTTCCAGAGGCCGTTCATTGACAGTATGGTTGCTGGCATTCCAGGTGGCAAGCCATACCTGGACGACATCTTGATCGCTGGAAAAATTCAACAGGATCATGATCGCAGCCTGAACGCTGTGATTCACCGGATCCGTGAGTTTGGCTTCCACTTACGCAACGAGAAGTGCCGGTTCTGTCTTCCGCAGATCAAGTTTCTGGTCACATAATCGATAAAGATGGTCTCCGCCCAGATCCTGCTAAACCCAACGCTATCTCCGAGATGCCACCACCGATGAATGTATCGCAACTACGTTCGTACCTTGGTGCGATCAACTATTACGGACGATTCGTTGGCCAGATGAAGGAACTTCGAGCGCCGCTTGACCGTCTACTAAAGAAGGATGCTCCTTGGAAAAGAACCACGGACTGCCAAAAGTCGTTTGACCGTTTCAAAACTCATTTCGACCCCAACAAGAAAATCATCGTCGCTGGAGACGCTTCCAGGAATGGTTTGGGCACTGTAATCCTACATCGCTTCTCCAACGGCTCCGTCAAAGCCGGAGCTCAAGTTTCGAGGTCGCTGACACCTGCGGACGAAAATTCGTGCTGCAGACCGACCACAAACCGCACCTTGAAATTTTCGGCAGCAAGAACGGCATTCCCGTTTACACCGCCAATCGTCTTCAGCGTTGGGCGCTAACGATGCTGCTGTATCCGACATCCAGTTCATCTCAGCGGCTAGTTTTGAACATGGCGACGGGTTGTCCCGCTTGATGAGCTGTCACAGCAAACCAGACGAGGAATACGTGAATGCTGCTCTCCAAACGGAATCTGACGTGAAGGCAATTCTCGCATACTCAACATCCAACTTGCCGGTCACATCCGATATGATCTCCAAGGGAACGCAAGACGACCTGGTCCTACCAGAGGTAATCAACTACATCCGCAATGGCTGGCCAAACACTGTAAGCGAGCTACCAGATACAGCTGTTCGACAGTTCTATTCCCAACGAGAGAGCCTCCAGGTCACGCAAGACTGCGTCATGTTCGCTGACAGAGTTGTAGTTCCAGAACGATTCCGCAAGCGCATCATCCGACAACTCCACCTTGGACACCGCGGAATAGACCGAATGAAGTCACTCGCAAGTAGTTTCTTTTCCTGGCTCAACATCGACGACGATGTTGAAACGTTTGTGCGCCAGTGTCGCCCCTGTGCTGTTGCAGCAAAATCGCCCCGTAAGACTACCCTTGAATCGTGGCCGATACCAACGAAACCGTGGGAGAGGATCCACATCGAACGCAGGTCATGGTTATCACTACCTCATCGTGGTCGACGCCTATTCAAAGTGGCCGGAAATCTTCAGATCCCGCAGTACAACTATTACAGTGACATTGGAAATCCTGCAAGAAACTTTCGCAAGGTACGGCAACCCACACACGCTCGTTTCGGACAACGGTACCCAGTTTGTAAGTGCTCGATTCAAGCAATTCTGTGAAGAAAATGAGATCCGCCACCTGAGGACAGCCCCTTACCACCCACAATCGAATGGGTAAGCTGAACGTTTTGTCGGCACCCTTAAGAGAGGACTGAAGAAACTCACCGAAAGGGGAAACCATGGTAACATTCCAAAATCTCCAGACGTTCCTCTCAGTTTTCCGGTCAACTCCAAATAGAACCGCTCCGGATGGTAATACACCTGCCCATCTATTTTTACGAAGACCAATACGAACAACGCTGGACCTATTGAAACCCTGTGTTCAGAGTCCAACCTTGGAGTACAAAAACGATATCCGGATGAAAATGATGCCGATCAATCTCCAAATCCACGCAATCAACTTCCCTTGGCCTAGCTAGTTGACGAGTTCCACCTATAAGCTCCGAAACCGTTGGTCCTAGCAGTGCTGATAGTAGAACCAATTTCAGATGATGAACTGATTCCTGATGATGACGAGCCCGATGATGTAATGACGGATGACGAATCTGTTGTTCCTGCGAACAGTGTGAATATTCAAGAACCAGTTCAACAGCGCAAAGAAAGAACCCGTAGACTTCCAGGTTGGCTGGTACCCTACGATCTCTTTTGAAAAAAAACTAAAAGGGACAGCCCTATGGGGTTGTACGCAATGGTGTCGTAGGACTACGCGGTTTTTCTATAATAAATCTTATTTGTTAACTGCAGCAGGAGCTTGTGTTTTGTGTAGGAATAGGAATTTGAGGAATACTTCAGTATGACGCGCTTGACATAGATTGCCCACAGCGACTCACGAAGAGCGACTGATTCCGATCAATAGCGGTGCGGCTTTTTCCCCCTTTCTATGAATGCTCATGTGGGCTGCAGCTCGTTGCTTGCAGACAGCCTTTCGTTGTGTACTGGAGAACACCACCACTCACCACGTGGTGATTGAAGAAACACCGTTTGGTGAGACCGGATGGAATTCAACATTGAAATCTGTGTTAGGGAAAGCGCTTTTCGTAGGCAATCGGTGATAATTTTAACTATCATAGCAACAGTTGCACATTTGTGCAATTTCCAATAGTGACATTTTGAAAAATAATAAACTCTTAATTTTAACAGATTTGTAGAAAAAATTCCTATCTATTGGCGTATTAAGAATTAAAATCCATCATCTTTGGATCAAAATCAGTCCACTTTCATGCCACGACCGGCTTTGATTTTTGAAATTACACCCCCAATATTTCCTTCAAGAACATGGTATGTTAGATTTAAACATGTCTATGTAGAGCTGGAATTAGGCGTAACAGCTTTTGTAAACAACGACATCTCTCGATGATTTTTTGGATTGCACGGCATGCCCACGCAAACCAATATTTCCGTCGGGTAGGGGAAGTCATACCCTACTTGATGGTTATGTTGATTTGCGCGGGCGAGCCTTGACATTCAAGACATCATCGAAAGAAGTGAATGTTTTCAAAAGCTGTTATGTCCTATCTTGATATGGGAACTGACATCCTATTGATGACCTTGACAAATGTCCAAAAATACTCTTTTACAAATTTATGGTGGTACTAAAACGGACCGTTTTGTTGTGATTGTTGAGTAATGCTGAGCTATTAGGGTGTTAATCACAGATGAGACTGGTGAACTGTATATTGTTTGGAAGGAGGTTGACGCGCTTGGCATAGTTGGCCCACAGCGACTCACGAAAAGCTACTGATTCCGATCAATAGCGGTGCGGCTTCTTCCTCCTTCTATGGATGCTCATATGGGCTGCAAATCGCTGCTTTCAGGCAGCCTTTCGATTTGTACTGGAGAACAATGTTCAACGCCACGCGCCGAAAGCACTGCTGCTGCTGCTGATGCCAATAACCGGACACCACCACACACAGTGATTGGAACTGAATCCGATCAGTGGTTCAGACCAGCCTTGATAGCTAGCTGCTTGCGGGGAGCCTTTCGTTGTGTACTGGAGAACACGGTGATTGAATAAACATCGTTTGGTGAGACCGGATGGAATTCAACTTTGAAATCTGTGCTAGGGAAATCGCTTTTCGCAGGTAATCGGTGATAATTTTATTTGTCATAACAACAGTTGCACATTCGTGCAATTTTCAATAGTGACATTTTAAAAAATAATAAAGTCTTAAATTTAGCAGATGCGTGGGAATATTTTTGATCGATTAGTGATAAAATTCGTTCAGGGGCAGCTGAGTTATTAACGTTCAAAATCTTTCATAATTTTGTTACATGTTTCATTTTCCGTTGTCACAAAGTGTACCCGTACCCCCATATAAAAATCACAGACGTAGTCCTACGTCAATAAAGGGGATGTACCATCGGCGTACACATCAGAAGAATATGTTGCCTGGTAGGCCATGGTTTATAGCCTAGATTACAACTGTAGTTGGCAAAGGTCATCGCCTTCATGACCTCGCTCATCCTAATGTGTTGACAATGTGTTCGCTGTGAGGAAATTTCAAGGGGTAGGTCATTCCGCACGCCCATCTTGGGTAGACTTTTTTGTTAGTGTACCGCAAGTGTGCCGCAGGTTTGCTGATTGTGCCGGTCATTAAGCAAGCTGCGATTATATGTAAAATATCCATCCCGGTAACCCGGTATTTCTAACACCTTGAATGTTTTGGTTTGAAATCGCAAGGATAAATCGGACTGAGGATGACGTGGAAAGTGACGATGTGTGAAATTTTGGTGTTTTGTGTTCATAGGATAATAAAAGTCCTGTGTTTTAGAGTTTTATAATGCCCTCAAAGCCAGATCAGAAACCTAGCCTTTCGTGGTTTTAAAGGCACTGATCTATCAGCGGCCGGAAAAAGTTGGAACCGGTGGGGAGCATTGTTGGAGACGGACTACGGAGGATGATGAATAGACTTCTTTAGATTGTTTTATGTGATTTGCAGCATTAAGGGTACTTAAAGGGTCTGATTAACTGCCTCTTTCTCTTGAGCCCACTCTAGAACCTACATTTCGTATTTGTGAACGGCTGGTATGAGTTTGTCTGGTATATTTAATTAGAGGATGTTCCTGAATATACAGTCAAACAGCACGTAATGTTTTGAACAACTTCAATGACAGTTGTCCAGCAGTGCACCCATTTTATTTACAACAATCCAATGCCTACGATATTGTGCCGATGCCAATCTGTGCCGAATCTAATTTCGGCACAATGTGCTGAGTGACTTACCCCTTGGGAAATTCACGGTTGAAGTTATGAAATCAAAAATTGGATTTTGTCGACAACAGTGATTATCATTTTGACACATGCAGAGAGCAGGCGCAGATATAGTACAGTGTTGCCAGTAACTTTAAATATCATGAAAATTTCTAACCATGGGTGCCAATGAAAGTGCCCAGGTGTGTCCGTCTGTATTTTTGGCACACTGTGCGGAGTGCCCAACCCCATGAGGCCAATTAACTTAGTCTACCACCCTTGATAGCAAGTTGCTGTTCCGTTCACATGTGGACAAAACATCCATCAAGTGCAACGTCTTGATTAGGTCGTTTTGTGCACTTATCAACAGCAAGTCAACCCTTTCCATTAAAAAAAAGCTTGCCGTCCACAAGCTCCCCACCATTGAGTACGGGACGCCAATCTTGGAGAGCTGTGCAAAGTGCCTTCACCTCACCAGAACAAGATCCTTAGGATAATCCTCAATTCGAAATTCTCAGAGAGTACGTTCACCCTCGAAAGGTTCAGAGATGTCTATCTGAGATCAAATCACGAGAGCGTACGCTACATTGCTAATTAGGTTAAATTATTCGTAGTTAAGTGGGTTATCAAATTCGATTATTATCGACGCATCAATCACATGAGAAATCAAAATTAATACTTTAGGCGGTTATATCAGGCAACAGTTTACAGTTGGGCGACTCCTAACGAAATCTGGGCAGAATGCTGAAAGGGCCACCAAAGGTTCTTTTCATTCAGTTTTTAGGCTAAAATCCATTTTCAACCTCAAATTCGAGTTGGTACAAGAACGGGTAATTTCAAGGCAGTTACCAAAATCTGATTTGAATTCTAAATTCAACTTGTGCTATTTCTATTATCATCATTTGTTTAAAAGAATTAGCTAGCTAACGATTTTCATAGCCTGCTTTGGCCGTAGCCTACTTTTTTTTTTTTTTTTTTTTTTTTTTTAACTCTTTATTTGTTCCAAATTCAAAATTAATTACATTTCATTTTAACCTAGGTGCTCCAGTTACTGCAGTAACGTACCAGCCTTAATTGTTATGATATATATCTAAGTGTTTTTACATTGTTCATGTCTTGGCAATTCAGTATTTTAAACAGGTTTTTTAACCTGCATGTCAGTATAACAATTGATATCTTAAAACTAAAAACTAAAACTAAATCTTATCTAAGTATAAAGGGAATTAATCGTTGCAATTGAGGATTGCAACGATTTTTGCCTGAAATTATTAATTATTTTGTTGGACATTTGTGCTAAAGTCTCAACATTCGAAATTCTATGTACTTCGGTTGTACTGTA